ATACTTTCAAAAAACACCGCTACACGGAAATAGTTTATTTCTTTTTATGCAAAATTTACGATGATTCTCGGCATTAAGTACACAAGGTAGGTGTGAAGAAACAACCGCTCTTGCAGTTAACCCAATTCAAGTTTTGTGCAAAATCGCATGATCGCACCGGCTCGCCTGGTGCGTCCCAGCCTGGGTTTGCAGCTATGCAATGCAGAAAACGCATATTGACGAGGGACTGTATGTGTGTGTGTGTTTGTGTGTCCGTGTGTGCGTCTGTCACGGTTTTTCATCTCAAGATCTACAAAAGCTACAGGGCTGAAACTTTGGGAACTTAATCTACATGCAAGTACGGGCCCCAATCCCAAAAATGGGTGCCACTACCCGGGTGGTACCCGCATGCGGGCCCGCCAAAGTTTTTTACGGGTAGGTTCATAATTCGGGGGTCTGAAAAGCTAGAAAGCTGAAATCTTAAGGTAATGTTCCCCCTCCAAGTGGGTATTAATCAGGTCAAACCCAGCCCCCGGGTGAGCGTGGTACCCGCGTACGAGCCCGTCAAAGTTTTTTTCGGGCAAGTTCATAAGTCGTTGATCTGATAAGCTAGAAAGCTGAAATCTTATGTGGGGATGTTCCCCGTTCAAGTGGGTATTAGTGAGCTCAAACCCAGCCCTGCGCACAGGCCCGCCAAGATTTTTTCGGATAAGTTCATAACTCGGAGATCTGAGAAGCTAGAAAGCTGAAATTTTAGGGGGATGTTCCCTGTCCAAGTGGGTATTAGTGAGGTTAAACCCAGCCCCCAGGTAAACGTAGTACCCACGTATGAGCCCACCAAAGTTTTTTTCGGGTAAGTTCATAACTTGAGGATCTGAGAAGCTAAAGGACCGTAATTTTTGGAGGATATATCCCGTTCACCTAAGTTTCATTCAGCCCAAACCCAACTCTCGGGTATGCGTGGTAAACACGTACGGGTCCGTGAAAATTTTTTCCAGTAAGATACTAACTCAAGAGCCAGGGGAGCTAGGAAGCAGAAATTTTAGGCGGGTGTTTTCTGACAGTACTAGCGGCCAGTCTTAATTTGTTTAGCTAGAAAAAGCCGTTGCCCACAGTTTTTGTTGCTACCGGCCGTTACTGCGGGGAACTATGCAAAAAACGCATTTTCGCGTGGGCAGCCCATGCGTTGGCCACTTATTTATGCTTAGCCTGAAAGATGACATTAATGAAGAGTTACGGATCCTAAATATGACACCCAGAATCCTATCTAGACGGAAAACACCATCACCAAGTCCCCTAACCAATCTTCTACTCGAACCTGGACGCAAAAACAAATGCATACTGTGCTGTCAGACCGAGCCGCGTTTTGGTAATTGCCGGCAAATGCACCATTATTTCTCTGTGTGTGTGTGCGTTGTGTTTGTTTGCATGTGCTTGCGGCTTGTTGTAGCGGTCGGTCGTTCTTGCTCGGGTTGTCCGTGGTTTTTGCCGTTTTTGTGCTGGTTTTTACCGATGTTTGCGATATTGTCTTAGCGATGTGGGGAAGAGGGGGGTGGTCTCCGTGCGGGGATTTTTCTACGTGAACACTCTGTTAGACGTGGGCCCAGCTGGATCTAGTGGTTTTTGGGGAAAAGTTGGGCCTCTTCTACCCCTCTAAGGCTGCTAAGCAGGACGTGCTAGTTTAACGATGTCACGAAACCAGCAGACGATCGGCCGTACGATTTTTCGGGGCATGAGACGGGTGCGTGCATTGCAGATCCCGAGGATGCGGTAGCGTGCAGTTCCATTGTAATTTTAATTTCAGATGATGTGTGTTTATGTAAAAAGTAAGGGTTAAAAAGAAGGGAATAAAAGGAAGGTGAATAAGATAAATCGGATTAAAAACCTGAATGTTTCGGTCCATTGAGTT